ACACGCTCGCGCGCGCGCGCACACACACTGGCACACACACACACACACACACACACACACGCACACACACACAAACACATTGCAAATCAGCGTATTTCTGCCTGGCTTGGCCCCCATCAACTAGGGCTGGGTAAAGAGTCGCTTTAGCAAAATTCGGATATTAGTGCACCTCTTCGGCAAATAATAGCCTATGATATGAACCGCTTCGGCAAATGGATTAGAGCCACTTCGACAAAAGGGTTAGTACTACTTCAACAAATGGGTGCACTCATTTCGGCAATAAATGGGTCAGAAAAGAGAGTTAAGAGTCTGGATTAGGATAATGTTTCATTGAGGATTATCAGGCTATCCTTATAGATTATCCGGATTATGCCCACCTCTACCATCAACTCCCCAGATTGGCAGACCTATGTGGAGCACAAGGGGAGGTCTTGGGGTAGGATGATCTTCCGGGTGTTGCAGCATCCTGTGCCTGTCCTTGTGGTCTACTATGAAGACATGAAGAACAACCTACTGCCAGAGCTGATTAAGGTATGGTGTCATTGGGTCGGGTAAGGTACGGTACGATGCTCTATGGTAGGGTAGGGCACAATACGGAAAGGTAAAGTACAGTATGGTATTGTATGGTGTGGTATGGTATTATATTATGGTATGGCATGGTATGGTATGGTATGGTATGGCATGGCATGGTATGGTATGGTATGGTATGGTATGGTATGGTATGGCATGGTATGGAATGGTATGGTATGGTATGGTATGGCATGGTATGGTATGGCATGGTATGGTATGGTATGGTATGGTATGGTATGGTATGGTATGGTATGGTATGGTATGGTGTGGTATGGCATGGTATGGTATGGTATGGTATGGTATGGCATAGAATGGTATGGCATTTTACGGTAGGTACGGTATAGTATTTTGTGGTATGGTGTAGTACAAAAACGTGTGGTACGGTGTGATATTTTATAGTAGGTATGGTATGATGTTTTATGGTATGGTATGGTATGGTATGAACTGGTATGGTGCGGTATGAAATGGATTGGTATGGTATGGTATGGTATGGTATGGTATGGTATGGTATGGTATGGTATGGTATGGTATGGTATGGTATGGTATAGGTCTATGAACACAATAGTACATGGTGATCCAATAAGAAAACGCCAAAATCATCCGAGACATTTCAGAAAGGAAAAACAGTGGAAATGCTAGCTTGGACACATGTGTTGCATCTTCAACCTCAAGCTTTTATTTAAACTTTTAAAAGTGCTCAATGTGACGACCATCGGCAGCACAGACAACATCAAGCTGATATGAGAATTCCTCCCAAACGCCCGTCTGGATGTCTCGGTCTACCGTGTTGAATGAACTCGTTATTCGATCTTTCATGTCATCAATGTTTGCTGGAATTCGGGGAACATAAACTTTGACTTGATGGTGATGATGATGATGATGATGATGGTGATGATGATGATGATGATGATGATGATGATGATGATGATGATGATGATGATGAGCCGATTGAATTAACCAACAATTTAAATTTTTTTCTTTACCATTTTGGTCTGTAAATTAATCAAGACTATCCTTATCATACTCTACTTTTAAACAATGATGATGATGAAGACGATGATAAAGAGGAAGAGGAGGAGGAAGAGTAGGAGAAGGAAGAGGGGGAGAAGTTGAAGGGAGGTGGGGGAATGAGGAGGAAGAGGAGAAGGAGAAGGAGGAGGAGGAGACAGAGGAGGAGAAGGAGGAGAAGTAGAAGGAGGAAAAGGAGAAGGAGGAGAATAATGATGATAATAACGTTACCTCTTTGCTGATAGTACTGTTGCTATTTATTTTTGACGATCTTTTCGTTGCTGTTGTTGTTGTTGTTGTTGTTGTTGTTGTTGTTGTTGTTGTTGTTGTTGTTGTTGCTGATGTTATCCCTTCTTAAAAAATCTTTGTCATACTGTAATGTTTTGATTGTGAGCGACTGACTGTGAATACTATCGTACTTATGTGAAATTGAAGGCGTCTATTATTCCACCAGATTGCCGATTTTCTGAAAACGTCGCAGCTGTCCCAATTCTCTCTATGCTGTGCCATGAGAAATCAGGAAGGCCGTCACCACAGGAACGCGTCCCTTCAACACTCGTTGTATGACAACAAACGACGGGGAACTGTAAACTCTGTTATTAAAGATATTGTTGACAAGTTGAGGATCACACACCAAGCAGTAGCTGACAGGATAAAGATGTACACATTGGTGGATCCAGGCAAAGCACCCTGAATGAGTTTATATAGGGATCATGATAGTTAAAGAAATAATTTGGATACAGATTTTAAAAATTGTAACTTCTCTTTGATGTCTTCAAGGTTTGGGCGTTTACCCTCTGTACCCCCTCCTTTTGCACTCGTTCTTTCTTCATTCTTTATATCTCTCTCTCTTTCTTCCCATCTTATTGTCTCAACTCTGTACTCCTATGCCCCCCCCCCTTCTCTCCTCATCTCTCTGTAAATAAAACAATACATTATTTAAAAAGCAGCGTTTTCTATTACAGATAAATGATACTCAGAGAAGTCTTTTGTTGTTGATTTCTTATTCATGAAATTTGACTGTCACTGAAGTCATTTTTATTAATCTTATTTCTCTTTCCTGAGAATGGGCCAGATAATCTCTCCAAACAATGCAAATAGGACCTTCCACGTGGTGATGCCAAGTGGCTGTGTAGAATTCAGAAATAAACGGTCAGATTTGGTACTTTGTTGCATGTTAGAATTAAAAACACAATTCTATTGAAATCTTTTACTATGCGTTCCCCAAATACTATCCTAGATCTAGCACTGCTGGAGCGCCGCAGGACACTTGATCTTCTCGAACCAGGGATGTCAGCTAGAGACACTGCCAGAACCCTTTACTGCAACACTTGCTCGTTTTTAAGGTTAGCAAAACGGAAAAGAACACTGGCGACATTGTTGACAGACAACACAGTGACTAGGCACACGTAACTACTGACTAACCAACAAGACCGGCATATTACAATTCTATCTTGTTTGCAAAACCGATTCCATAAAACATCTGAAGCAACGACAGGGGTTCATGGTAGACGAGGTGTTGTGTATCCGAACAATATCCGCAATCGACTGCATGACCCAGGACTTATAACCCGAATGCCGTATTTTGGCCTGGAGCTAACAAATTTTAATGTTCGCATACAGCGTCATAATGTGGGCGAGATAGTATCTTCATCATAACCTTTTTTACCACCAGAGCATCAGCTTCACAGACTGGCAAGCTTTCTCACCCGAGATATATATACTTATATATATATATATATATATATATATATACATATATATATATATATATATATATATATATATATAATGTTATTGTCACCTATTGAACGCCTTAGAGACAAACTTAGTCGCCTTTCATACGCCCAGAATGGTATTAAATGGCAACACCAAACAACGGAATGATGCTCTTCACCAAGGGTGGGCTGCATTTCATTAACAAACAAACTGTTGCAGTGTTAGGAATATCGTCGTATATCTACTGTTTTTGAATTTTGGATTTTTCTTTATACTCCAGGTGAAGTTTCTGTCGAAAACAATGATGCACGGATTGTGTCACCTGCATTGTTTCAGCAGAAATTTAGACCTAGAATAGCTCAGGTTAACTTACCAATGACCAATATCATACGCTTTGGTGAATGCTACCAGATAGTGAACTTAAACATTATACTATTTATAATGTTCTTTTAACTTACCCAATCGTAAAAAATCATTTCAGAGAAGAAGAAAATACCATGTAACGTCACTAGTTTACAATAGTAACTATACTTTCTTCTCTAGAAAGATAAAAGTCGAAGTCCTTTTTAAAAAAAAAGCACTTCTCTGGCTGTTTTCAAATTAAGACCAAATAGAAAATAACACCGGAGCGACAATTATAGTGGGCTTGTCTGCTTACAGTTAAAAGAGTAGAGAAAGCGCGTCTGAAACTTTATTGGAATGATTTGATCAGCTAATAAAAAAGGGAGACTTCAAGAAACAGTATGTGTATATTTTTATCATTTCTGGATTTAAAAAAACAACACGAGTGCAGGTTTACCATTCATTTTGTCTTTCTCGCCTACCCGCCTTACTGTGTTCAATTTTTCTGTCTAATTACCTCCCGTAGATCAGCGGCATGAAGCCATTTACCATTGAAAGATAGACATGCAAAGCGCTTTGAAGGAAACTAAATCTGGAGCCTGGGATGACATAGAAATGAGAATAGTTTCATTTTAGCAATATTTGCAAATATAATTTTAGTAATATTTACGTTTTATGTACATGTAGTAATCTTTGCGCGTGATTAAGTAATCTTTGCGTATAATTTAGTAATCTTTGAGCACAATTTAGTAATATTTAAGAATAATTAAACATCTCAAAATGAGCTGAGAAGCAGGAACTTCATTAGGAGCGAGCCATATTGATAGAAAGTCTTCACATTTAGAAGAAAGTATAATTCTTTGTGTTTCACAATGTTGTAATAAAACAACAATCCACAAAAAGGTAAGAAAAGAACCAAAGTCAGATAACTATTCCATTTCTTGACACTGAGCTATTTATGCAATCTGGCATTTGGTTGGAAGAGTGTAAGAAAATGAATGAATGTCAGAAAAGTCCAAATCTACATCTTAATATTGCACCTTTATGTCATGAAGGAAAGGAAAGGGTTCGTAAACGATTGCACCAAGAAAAGGCGACCAGCAATGGACAACGTTAAGGTCAAATAATAGTCCTGAAGACGTTACCCGGCACGTGTGTGTATTTCAAGGCTTACTCACTCCCTCCCTGTACCGTCAGGTACATAAGGCGGAGAGCTGTCGACGCCACACTTGTTTGCTGTGCGTGGGCAAACTCACGATTTAAAAAAATTAAAGAATGTTTTTTTGGCAAGGTCTTCGTATATTTGTCATGTATTAAATGACAGTTTAAAGTCCATAACAAAGACAGGAAATAATCCAGTGGAGCTCGACTGGGAAATAACTAAGGCATTATAAGTGCTCGACTAGCTACCAGATAAACGCTATGCGTCCCATCGAATTTAAACAAATTGCCGTGTTTTAGCGTTTACCTCCGGATTTCAGGTACAGCAGTCAGATTATTTTTTACTCTAGAATGGTTCAAAAAATGGCTAGGACTACCGTTAAACAATAGAGCACTCAGCAGAACAACTTGCCAGTTTCGCTCGCACTGTGTTCAGTATTATTGGCATACATGCTTTAATTCCAGGTAGTTACGTGGGTCTGACGGACTTTTAAATCCGGAGTATTTGGGCATACTTCAGTTTGATATGTTTTCATGGCTCACCGTCAACATGGCTTGGTTCTTTCGGAGACGGACATTTGGTTAGAAGTTCCATATCTTTGATACAGCTACTGTGCTGAGAGAGAGAGAGAGAGAGAGAGAGAGAGAGAGAGAGAGAGAGAGAGAGTGAGAGA